GCCCTCATATGTGGGATCCGAACCGGGGCCCTCTGGCGTCCCAAGCCAGTTCTTAACCATCGCGCCACTCGGCCGGCCCATTAAGTCATATTTTTTTAACTCTGCCACTGCTATTTATTTATTTGTTTGTTTATTTGTTTGTTTGTTTTAAGCTGAGCCATCCTGTCACCTGTTGGTAGCTCAGCGGCTGCTCAGCTCGGGCTGGGAATCGAACCCCTGTTGCTCAGAGCTCAAACTCTTGAGCAAGCTCTTAACCAGCTGAGCCACTCGGCCGGCCCCAGCCATTGCTTTTTAATCTCACTGTTTGGACCTCTCATGTGAAATGGACTCTCATGACTCAGCATATGATTGTGCTTATGGCTCTGATTTATTACAACAAAATACAAAACAAAATCAGCAAACATTTTGAAAAAGCACATGGGGTAAAGTTTGAGGGAAACTAGACACAAGCTTCCAAGGGTCCTCTCCCAATGGAGTTACATTGGATCTGTTTCATTCCCCCAGCAAGATATGACAACAAATATTAAATGAAGCGAACCAGGAAGCTGGGTAGACTCAATACCCAGGGTATTTAATGGGGGGGGCGTTAGTGAAGGTAGCCCTTTGATTGGTGAGTATCCAAATTCCAGACTCCAAGAAGGAAAGCAGTGTTCAACAGAAACCATACTGCTTGTACAGTTTACGTGAGCTCAACAATTAATGGCAGCAGCCCTTCTAAAATCTGTTTCCTGATGCCAGGCAAGGGTCGACTTTGCAAGCAGGTCTTTCTAAAGATAAAAGTCCAATACTGCTTTGTTAACTCTTTTGTGTATATCTTAGAAACAGTCACAATATCTAATAATGTTAGCAAAAGCACTGAAAACAAAGAGTCAAAAACGTTTCTGATACATTTATTTAATCTTAGATTTGGAAATAACCTATCCCAGTTGCCCAAATGTATTCCTGACCCCTAACCTCCCAATACACCAGATCCAAACAGGTTTTGGACAGGTTTCTTCAAAACTTCAAGGATCAAAACATTCCAATGTTAAACTATTCCTGTGCAAATAGGAAAAAGTAAAGTTTTCTGCTTCTTCTTATGAAGCCAATGTAACCCTCACACAAAGATGTGACCACAACCACACACTCAAAAACCAGTATAAATGAAAAAACATCTTATGTAGAAAATTAGAAAACAGAATTAAACAGGATTCATG